GTTGGGGTGTAGGGTCTGGGCTGGGGCAGGAGGAGGGGGTGTGGGGGATGGGCTCTGGGAGGGAGTTGGGGTGCAGGGTCTGGGCTCGGGCAGGGGGTTGGGGTGCAGAAGGGGGTTCAGGGCTGGGGCAGAGGGTTAGGTGTGGGGGTGAAGGCTGTGAAGTGGGGCCGGGGATGAGGGGTTCATAGTGCAGGAGCGGGCTCAGGGCTAGGGCAGAGATTTGGGGGGTGAGGGCTCTGGCTGGAGGTGTGGGCTCTGGGGTGGGGTCTTTGTCTCGCTTCCTGGGGCCAAGAGTCACCTGGTCGCATCTGCCTGTGTAAGTTTTATACAGAGTAAAATAGATTTATTTGGGGTTTGGATCCCATTGGGAGCTGGGAATCTGGGTGCTGGAGACAGGAGAATTTCTTAAGCTGTTTCCAGTTAAGCCTGCAGCTTGTGGGGCGCGTGGTTCAGAGCTGGGGCTGGGTTGGAGCAGGCCGGCGTGTCTGGTTCAGACCAGGCAGGGTGCTGCAGACCCAGGCTGGCAGGGAAAACGGGCTCAGGAGTATCTCAGCACATCAGGCGGCAGTTCCCAAGGGAGTTTCTGTGACCCAACCCGTCCCAGGGGTGTTGCCAACACTTTTTGGAGAACGGAGCTAAAATGCAGGGAGGTCTGGATCGAACTGGGGTGTAGCTGCCAAACTGAAATTGGACAAAGACCAATGGACGGTGCTATATTGAGGGAAGAATACCCAAATGCCCCAATTACTCCTGGGGGAATTCTGTGCTCAAAAACGTAACAATTCTGCGCACCCTAGTTTCAAATTCTGCATCTTTTATGTGTCAAAAATAACACGATCTAATCACACCTGTTTCAATTATTTGTGGTCATTTATTGCAAAATACCCGTCAGCAGGTGTGTCTGTAATAATACAGCCAAGAGACAAGCTCGAGGAAATGCTTATTTGACAAATCAATTCCTTACGGAGCGGATTCATACAGAGCTCGGAGTAAGAATCCATTTAAACTACAATACAGACCCGTGCTCCCCACCCCCCTCAGAAGCAGGGCAAAGGCTGGGGGGAGTCGGGGTCACGGAGGGGCTGGTGGGGCAGTAAATTGCTGGGAAGGAGCCTGGGTGTGAACTTGGAGGGTTTTGGGGTATGGGTGGGGGAAAGTCTGGAACAGGTTTTTCGGGGGGCGGGGAGAGATTGTTAGGGAGCCTCCCCCATGCAGACCCTGGTTGCCCCGAGCCTCTCCCAATCAGTCAGGCACATCTGCCCCCCTGTGTTCCTGCACCCCCATGTGTCCTTCCACCCCCTGTCTGCATGTGTCCGTCCACCCCCACTCAGACACCCACTCCCCATATGGCCCTGAACCCACTCCCCCTGTCCCCATGTGTCTCTGTGCCCCCACCCAGCCACACCCATGTGACCAGTGCCTCCTAGAGGAGAAAGGACCTGTGTCCCATTCTCCCCCCCTCCACTGAGCCAGCCAGTCCCTGCCCTGGGGCTGGATGGGAGCCGGCACCCCCTAGAGGGGACAGGCCCCTGCCCCATTCCCCGTCCCCCTGAGCCAGCCAGTCCCCGCCCTGGGGCCAGATGGGAGCTGCCGCCCCTAAGAGGGGAGAGGCCCCATCCCATTGCACTGTTGCTCCTCGTACAACCCCCTCCACACCTCCTCCACCCTGTCCAGCGACACCCCGTGCACCAACATGGCCTCCGCGTACAGACACTGCTCGTCCTTCATGCCAAAGACCTGGAATCGCTCATCGTGCCGGTACCGCAGCCCGGCGGCCAGCACCAGGAAGCCGAAGTAGACGTCGTCCAGCGGGAAGACGGGGATGCGCTCGGAGGCCGCGGCCAGGGCCGGGATGCTGGCCCTGGGCATGATGAACCCGCCCCCGGAGGGGAAGAAGGGGTATTTGTCCTGGGGGAACAGGGTGGAGGAGACGCGATATTTCCCCCCTCTCATCACGGCTGCATGGCGCTGGATGTTGCCGTGGATGACGTGGGAGGCGTTGGGCGTCTGGCTCAGGTAGGCCACCATAGCGGGGGGGTTCACAAACTCGTCATCATCCCCTGGAGGAGGGAAAAGATGCTGGGGAGGGTGCAGCTGGGGGCCAGATGGCCTCGCCAGAGCCAGGGAGAGAACCCAGGAGTCCTGGCTCCCAGCCCCCCCTGCTCTGACCCACCAGCCCCCACTCCCCTCCCAGAGCCCGGGAGAGAACCCAGGCGTCCGGGCTCACCTTTGAAGATGAAATCCACCTGCTCACAGCGCGCCCCCACCCAGCGCAGGAAGCAGCGCTCCTTGAGTGACAGGTTGTGGTGGCTCTCGGCGAAATCCCACAGCACCACGTCCCCAAACTCCCCGCTCTCCCACTCCAGCAGGGCCAGGTGCCGGGGGTCAGGGGACATCCCCACGAGGAAGACGGCTCGGACCCGGTAGCCCCCCAGGACCCTGGGCCGGGCCCACGTGCGGCGGGCGGTGGCCCGTCTGGCGCTGGACGCTGGGTGGGATTTCACGGCCAGGAGCAGCAGGGGCGGCCCTGGGGGCCCGGTGCAAACCCCGTCCCCTGGGATCAGCTCCCGGCACTGGTAGCTCTGCAGCTGGGGGAACTCGGCCCGGAAGGCGGCGTAATCCAAGCGGAAGGTGAAGGTCCCGTCGCTCAGCTCCACCGAGCCACGGCTGGGGTCAGGGTTGGGGCTGGGGCTGAGGCCGGCCTGCCGGGTCTCTCTCTGCTTCAGCCTCACGGTGTAGGATAGCCAAATAAACCCCCCAATCAGCAGGATCCAGGCACCCGAGCACTTCATGTCCACTCCCCACAGGACTCGGCTGAAAGTGAAGCATAGGCAGGTGGAAACTCGCCCAGGGTGTGTTGAACAAACACTGGGGCAGGACTGAATGTGTCACTCAGGACACCTGGTGTAACGATGCTGGCTCTGGCGGGACCCAACTGAGAGTGCCAATTCAGGACAAATTGCTCAAACAGGGCAGTTACAGCCCAAGGCTGGGGTTTTTCCACCTCTAAGGCAAACCAAACCAGCCAGGCTAAGAGGACTTCGGTCTCACCCCACTGGCTAACCACAAGTCACACCAGCAATTCCCTCAGACACTCCAGTTTCCCAGTATCACCACCAGTGCCACTCGTTATGGGGATGAATGGTTATGAAAACCAATACCCCAGTAAAAGAAAAAAGGTTCTTCTGATCCCCAAGGACCAAGCCCCAGACCCAGGTCAATATACAGATCAGATCTTACCCACAAATCATGCTGTTGCCAATCCTTTAGAATCTAAAATTGAAAGGTTTATTCATAAAAGGAAAAGATAGAGATGAGAGTTAGAATTGGTTAAATGGAATCAGTTACATCCAGTAATGGCAAAGTTCTTGGTTCAGGCTTGCAGCAGCGATGGAATAAACTGCAGGTTCAAATCAAGTCTCTGGAACATCCCCAGCTGGGATGGGTCCTCAGTCCTTTGTTCAGAGCTTCCGTTTGTAGCAAAGTCCGTCCAGCGGTACGAACAGAGGTGAGCTGGAACTGGTTTGCAGGAATTGGTTGTTAAATTTAAAAGCCATTTTAGAACCGGTTATCCCACACGGGACATCTGGTTCTAAAAGGGCTTTTAAATTTAACGACTAGTAAAGCTCTGGCAGCTCCCCGTCCTGCCCCCGGCCCCAGCTCACCTCCTCCTCCTCCCCCCCTCTCCTCCCCCTCCCCTGCTTCACGCGAATCAGATGTTCATGCGGGAAGCCTGGAAACAAGCAGCGGCAGGTAAGCTGGGGCGGGGGGGGGCGCGGGAGGAGGGCTCCAGGCAGGTGCAGCGCGGCCCAGTCCGGCTCCGGCCGAGCGGCTCCCTCCGTAAGCGGCATGGTAAGCGGCCGGGGGTGGGTTGGATAAGGCAGGGGCAGGGAGCGGGTGTGTGTGGGGGGATTGGATCGGGCAGAGGTTCTGGGGGGGCGGTCAGGGGATGGGGAAGCGGGGGTTGGGTAGGCATGGGAGTTCCAGGGGTCTGTCGGGACGGTGGTGGATGGGGTCAGGGCAGTCAGGGGG